CTGCCTTGAGCCCTTTGTAGGAAAAAGGCAGCTTACATCATCTCTCCTCCTCCATCTTATCCCCACCACAACAACCCTGTGAGGTAGGTTGGGCTGAGAGTCTGTGACTGGCCCAGAGTCACCCAGTTGGCTCCATGGCCGAGTGGGGACTCGAACCCGGATCGCCTGAGTCCCAGTCCCACACTCTTGACCACGACCCCACCCTGGCTTTCATGTTGGAAGTGGGATCAAGCCTGCACATTCCTTGCTGTCGCAGGATTAGGAGCCCGCGCACCCCTTCCGCCCGTCCGCTCTCCCTGGGCTCCGAGTTCAGAAGGTGCTTTCAGTCCCTGGCTGATGCCGCGCCAGGTGGAGCGGGGCACGGACCACCCCGCCGAAGGGGAGCTTCGCCCCGAACGGGACTCTCCTGCCTCGCTCTCCCGTCTTCCAGCAAGGCTTTTGCTCTCTGCCTTTCAAGCAGACAGCCAGCGACGGCGTCAGGGCTGAGCTGAAGTCGGAAGCCCGAGATGGGGGAGCTGCGCAACCAAAAGCCCACGCAAGGAAGAAGCCAGGAGGGGCCGGGCAGACGAGCAGCCACACGAGCCGAGGGCTGTGTGAGCCAGCCCTGCACATCTGGAGCGGAACAGGCTGGGGAGGGCGGCGGGGGGGGCGGGGGCCCCTCTGGTTCTGATTCCTTCAAATTGTGACAGATGGGGATGCAGCCAGGCGCGGGGAGAAGAACCAAGGCTTGGCCCTCTTTGAGGAGGGGCACTCTGGTCAGGGCTGTACCAGGCTGCTGAAGGGAGCTCACATGGCAGACGATCGACCGCCCTCGCACGCAGACAGAAAGGCGCGCCACCGAGGAGGGCTCTAAGCCTAGTCTTCCCCCTGAGAGGCTAGATTTCTAGGTGAAGGGAACTCTCCCAGATTAGAGGCATTCAGCGGCTTGCCTCCCACATGCAGCCTGCTTTGGAAGAGTCCACACCGATCCATCAACTGATTTTTGAGCGATTAAGTCTTCAAAGAGACCCGGAAGCAGCGAACGACTGTTGTTGTCGTCATCGCTACACTGCATTTATATCTCGAGTTTTTTCCTGGTCCAAGGCGCCCATGGCAGCCTGCACTGTTCTCCCTCCATTTTATCCTCACGCAACAAACCTGCGAGGTAGGTTGGGCGGAGGGTCCCGCACAGGCCGAAGCCCTCCAGTGGGGCTCCCGTTCAAGTGGGGACTAGAACCCGGGTCTGCTAGTTCCCCCGTGCCCCACCCACGCCGGGGCACCACGCCGGTCCTCCAAGCAGCAGATGCAGACCCCGAACAAGAGAAACCCCCAAAACGAAACTGCAGCAGTGGAATAGAGCCAGTGTGGCGTGGTGGTTAAGAGCCTGGGACTGGGACTCAGGCGACCCGGGTTCTAGTCCCCGCTCAGCCATGGAGCCAACCAGGGTGGCTTTGGGCCAGTCACGGACTCTCGGCCCAGCCTACCTCACAGGGTTGTTGTTGTGGGGATAAGATGGAGGAGGAGAATGATGTCAGCTGCCTTGAGCCCTTTGCAGGAAAAAGGCAGGATATAAATCGAAAAATAAATAAATAAATAAATAAATAAATAAGACACCCCGCATTTGCAAAAAGCACAGAGACATTGCAAAAAACCCCATGCTCCTAAAACTGAGCTAAGCTGGCACCAAGACAATGGCTCAGCTGAGGAGCCGACACAAAAGCCGCTTCCCTTCCAGCTGCCCGCATCGAACGAAGCCCTTGATCAAGATTTCAGAGAGGGGGATGATTCCTGGGGGGACGTCTTCATGAAAATCAAGTCCAAAACTAATGGCTTGCTTGGGTCAGCACTTCTGAAGGACGGCAGTCGGAGGGGTGAAAAGCGGCTGAAGGAACTGGAGCTTCACTCCAGGCAAAGTGGTGCTCACAGGCCAAACGGGACTGCAGAAAACCGCTTCCATCTTTTGCACAATGTTTTTGCTTCAAGCAACCCCCCCCCGCCCGCCGCTGACCCCGACTTTTCCGCTCCTCATCTCCTCGCAACACTTCAGAAAACCCCTCTTTATGTACATGCCTTTCCCATTTTAATAAACCCCGAATTGATTCCTTCCTTCCTATGGGGCAGAGAATCTGAAGAACATTCTAATTATATTGTCAAGAAAGACGGATGTCCCTGGAGATGTGAAAGGAGAAATCGTTGCTTGACGTCAGAGGTGCTGATCTGGTGACCCCCCCCTGCTCCAGCCTCTGCTTCAGACCGCCCCGCTCCCCCCGGTTTATCAGAGGAGCCGAAAAGGGTCATTTGGAGCAGGCCTCCTTCAGCCCAGAGAAGTCTCTGCTCATCAGCTAATTGGAAGCAAGCCCTGGATGAAACTCTCAGTATCCTAATTCGCAATGCTAATCCAGAGAAGTGCCTTCACCAACGAGGAACCTCAGAGTTTTGGTCCAAGGGCTGGGGGAGGCAAGCAAGAATTGACACCTGGGAGGACACCTGGGGAGGCAGGTGGGGCCCCAGGATGGAGAAGGCCGGAAGCACCTGCCAAGAGGGAAGGCAGACCATCAGGGGAAGGGGAAGGCGCCCCGAGGCTTCGGCGAATGGGGCGGCATAAAAATGTTTTAATAAATAAATAAATAAATAAATCTGCGCCTGGCTCCAGCCTCACTGATGTCCTTGGAGCCCCATGAACGCCAGAGGTGTCTACCGAGCCGGCCAGTCCAGCAGAGGTGTGCAACCTCGGCCAGGGGGCCACGCCCCCTCCCTGGGGCTCCCCAGGTGCCCCTCAGGGGGAGTTCTCCAGGGCTGGGTGCTGCGAGGGGAAGCAGGACGTAGAAGGGGCTCCAGAGTGGGCCCCCAAAGCAGGCTGCAGGTGCTGCGTGGCCCAAGGCACCTGGCCAGGTGTGCACGAGCCGAGCTGCCGAGAAGGATGATGCTATTCATGGGGGGGGGGGGCATCGCGGCTGATTTCCCTCTCCCTGACGGTATGAACCCGCTCGTTCTATATGCCAGAATGTAATCACAGCACTCAAAAGCAATCGGAATTTCTGACCCCCAAACGCGCGGCGGGTTAGTTAATTACAGCGCCGCAGCAGGGAGCAATCGTCGCGGGGCGGCCGCTCAGCACCGCCTTCGCTGACACACAGTGCCAAGCGCCCGTCTCTCGACGCTGCTGCTGAAGGATGTGACGGGCGGAGGTTCAGCCCAGAGAGAAACCTCATTAAAGCCTCCACTCCGGCGGCTCGCCACGTCTCTGGGGAGCCTCCCTCGCCGTTCCGAAATCACATTTCCCATCTTCTATTCACTGACGTCCAGAAGGATCGGGGCAGTGGGTGCTGCGGCAGCGGTGCTGAGGGCCCGGATGCCACTCCAGGGGAGCTCCCGGGGCCCCAAATCCCCAGGGTGGGGGGGCTGAGGGTGAGGGGCGGGGCAACACACAGGCCTACCTTAGCTGACGCCTCTTCCTGCCGGCCGGTGCCTGAGCCTCGGGAGAGGCCTTCCCGCCTCTGAACGTGGGGAGACAAACCGCCCAGGCCAAGAGCGGCTGAAGCGCAGAAGCGCGGGGAAGGAGCTGGGGCAGAAGGTGCGGCTGCCTGGGGATCCCGGAGGCCCGGGTGGAGACCCAGGTGGGCCTGAAACGCCACACCCCCATGATACTAGGAGAAGGGGCAGGTGGGAGAAGCAGGGAGCTGGAACCACAGGAACAAGCGAATCCCCAGAACTGACCTGCAGGAATAGCTTCTGCAGGAGTTTTCCCTGAAGATTTAGTGCTGCACCCACAACCTGGGCAAAGGACGCCCATCCGACTTCAACGGCGCTCCCAGGGGCCAGGTCCTACTAAGACCCGGCCTGAACGATGGTCCTGACAAGCCACACCTGTCCGTTCTGCGCCCACGTCTGCCAGGCCGAGTTGGGAAGCGCGAAGGTAAGCATGGATGCTTGCAGCCAGGCAAAGGTCAGGGACCGTGCACGACCCTGGCTCCCGGAGGAGACCCCCGCTCGACGCATCGTGGAGCCCGGCACGGAGCAGATGAGAAAGGGCACGTTCAAACGGGTGAGGACTTACCATTTTGTCCAGGAAGATCACCAGATCCTACAGGAGGAAGAAAACCGCCAACCAGTGAAAGGCCCGCCCGGCAGTTTTGCCCTCCTCCTCCTCCCCCGCCTCCTGTGTCACCCACACCGGTCGCCCCGATGCAAATGCAGCCCCCCCCCCGCCTCGTGTGTCCTCCGTATCACGTGCACTTTGGCATGACCCAGGTCACGGCTAGGCAAGTCTGGTTCTTGGCCCCGGGCAAGGAGGGAGGGCTCACAAGGTCTCCCCCCGGCCGGGGCAGGATGCAGGAACACCCAAGCCAGCGGGTGCACCGCCGGGGGGTTCGCCGGGCTGCGGCCAGAAGGGGGGCTGTCTGCGCAGCGCCTCGGCCTTCGCTGCACGGGCGGTCCTGCGTCTTGAAAACCAGGAGATCACGAACGAGGCTATCTGGCTGCAGAGGGACACAACACCCCGCCCCACACACACACACACACACACACACACACGCGCACACTGCCAAGGTGCGGGCAAACTTTCGACTGCCTCCGATGGCTGCATCTGCACAGCTAAAATCCACCTGCACGGTTGTGCTCAGTTAGAATCCAATATGTACCCATAAGGTTGCCTTCTTTGTTTAAATTGCTTGACTATGCTTGACTATGGACCCAACTGGGCAACTCTGGGCCAGTCTCAGCCCAACCTACCTCACAGGGTTGTTGTTTTGGGGATAAGATTGACAGCAGCAGCAGGAGAATGAGTCATTTCGAGTTTGTTGTAAGAAAAAACGTGAGATCTGAAGCTAATAACTAAATAAATAAATTTAAGTGTTTGGACGCATTCTCAAATACGGGCTTGTGCAAGATTAGTGCAAATGAGCATCTGCCAGAGGCAAACGGCAATACAGTCAATCTTTATGCCATGGCCCACCTTGCATATTTCCTCCTGGGAATATTCTTCGACAGCTGCAACGACAAAATGATTAAAGCCACTTTAGTGCCCTCCAATGGACGCTGTAACGCTCAAAAGCTGCCAGACCCTCCTCCGTATGCGTGGCGCACCTTCCTTCCAGTCCCTGCAAGGGTTAACCACACTGCTGAGTTTGCCTCCTTCGACTCTCTGCGAAAAGAGGAGGCAGCTTGCAGAGAAGAATACAGGAACAGTGTGCTCACGCTGCAAGTTTGAGAGTAAAGTGGATGAAGATGGGAAGAAGCCCAGGTTCAACCCGTTTCTCTGCCACAAAGCTGGGAAACAGAGAAGTCTCTTGTCCTGTTACGGAAGAAGAGCTGGTCCCAGGGTTTCTCTGCATGGACCGGGTGCAAGCGAGCTGCAGCCCGCTAATGGCTGGGCTGAAAACAATCCCGGGCCACCCGTCCTCCACATGTTAAGGCTGGCCTGTGGTACGAAAGACGAGCGCTGCAGAAACCAGGAGCAAGAGACACCAGCCGAGTCAGAAGACCGGCCGTGAGGGAGGGGTGGCTGGATGCCACGCAGGCCATTCCCAGCGGGAGACCTCCCCTCCCTTCCAAACCGCAAAGCGCCGACTCCCCCACGAGGGCGGATGTTGCTGCTGATGGGCGAACTGCTGGGAACGCTGGGCGTTTCTTCTCTTGTCCTCCCCCTCAACACCACACCCTGTAACTGGACCAGTGAGGTTCGGTCTGCATCCACCTTTCCTGCTCCGCTTCCCAGATCTGAACCTGTTCGGTTCCCAGCGGCTGCCCGGCTTATCTGCAAATCCAAAGGCCTTGGCATTTCAGCGGCAGCTCCTGAATCAGAAACTGAGTCTCTGTCCTTTGAAGGCTCTGCTATGCTTTAAAAAATGCTAAAAACCAGCTAAAAACACGGATACCCCCTTGGATTGTGCGTGCCTTTCCACAGGAAGAGGGGGGAAGGCAAGACCCTACGGAGCCAGCACCAATCAGGCGTCCCTTGCACTGTCGTGGGATGCGGCTCGCTGGCGGAGGGCTCCAAAGCCCCTGCCCAGCAGTCCACTGGCCACGCCGGCCACCCGCAAGCCCAAGCGGCCAGAAACGTTCCTGACGGCACTGTGCGTGTCTAGAGCGCGACCCAGCACCTCCAGGGAAAGGCCTTGGGGAAAGGCAGGGCTGGGAAGGGCCCACCTCTGCTTGAGGACTCTGAACGCTGCTGCCCATCAGGGGAGCAACAAGCAGTTAACGATTAATGAACAGATTTTTAAAACACGCAGAAGAGGTCGCAACGGGAGCAAGAGAACAGGGATCGCAGAAGCCAAGTCGAATGCCTTCCCTGGTTCTTGTGGCCTGAAGGAAGGCAATTCCACCTGCCCACCCCCTCCCGCCCCCCGCGGCCTCGGGGCCGGGCAAGCTGAGCCCAGGGTCCAAGCCCGTGCAATGGCTGCTTCAGCCCCTGTAACAGCCTGCCGCAAGGGGTGCCTGGGACACCGCTGTCCTGCCCTCCCGGGAGTTTACCTGTCCCCACGGCAGGAACCCTGGCCGAAGAGCAGCAGATAAACTATCTAAACAAACAGCGAGCTATGGAAAGCGTTAAAGCCAAAGCCGATTCACCTGCTGGCGCCGTGGAATCTCCGTAGCCTTTCATTTCCAAGGCGATGACACGGAAGCCAGCATCCGCCAGGGCAGGGATCTGGGGAGGAAGGGAGGCGAGAGTGACCTGAAAGGCAGGTGCAGCCCAAGCCCAGACAAACATGGATGCGATTTCAGGTACCAGAATAAGATCTCTCACACTGAGGTAGGAGCAGGGGCGGAACGGCACACAGGTGCCCCGCACAGTTCCGCTGCAGCAGAATCCAGGTGCTGCCTGAGTCGCTTTGCGGCTCAGGTCAAAGACCTATCTATAACATGCGTTACTTTATCTCAGGCTGTCCAGCTGAGTGGGCCGGGTGGCACGCTGGGGCCTCCGGCACCACTCTGGAGAGCTCCGGGTAGGTGGGGGCTGTCCTACAAGGCAGCACAGAAAAGAATGCGCAAGGTCGGTCAGTCAGATGGGCTTTACCTGGTACCTCCAAGAAAACCAGCTCTCCGGGAAGCCGTGGCAGAGGCAAACGACGGGCCCGCTCCCCATCTCCACGAAGTGCAACTTGGTCTGGGGCTACGGGGAAGTGGATTTGAGTCACAATCAGACACGGAGCTAGAAGCAGCCAGATTCTTAACTCTCTGGAGCAATTCTAGCTTGACAAACACTTCAGGCATAATGAAAAGCTGCCGATTCGACGGCTGCACACTCATGAGCAAGCAGGGAGGAGAAGTGGCAACCAAGGAACAAAACAGGGCCAGATCACCTTGTTTTCAAGAAAAAAATGCACCGGCTCACTGCCTTATGGTAGACTTTGCAGCTGAGCTGGGAGGTACAGACCCTGGTGCGTTGCTGCGATTTTTCTTATTAAAAATATTTCTCCGCCTCCTTTCAGGAAAAAAAGCCTTCCCAAGGAAAGGAAACGTATAACAAAAGCCAGTGCAGTATTAAAATAGATAAAAACACTGTAAGAGCAGCAACAAACTCTCTAAGAAAAAGCAAAACTGGCCCCTGGAGGCTGCCCACCCAAAATACCGCAGTTTAAAAAAGAGACTTCTGGCATTGGCATTTCCCACCCGGCACCGGAACTGAATCCACCCCAATCCAAAAGCCACCCTGGGAGGGGAGTTCCCTCCACCCCGGTGAACTGGAATGGAAGCAGCCAGGGTGTTTCCAGGTTTTAACTGTATTTGTATTACGTTTATTTATTTATGTGAGCCGTCCCGAGGCTATATAGCAAGGGGACTGCGTACAAAAATTCTAAATAAATAAACAAACTCCACCATACACAAGCAGGAAACTGGCCCCTGGTCACAAAATGCAGAGGTGGGGTCAAAGTGGGTAGTTTTATAATCGGAAAGCGCTTCCAAGGGTGTCGGGAGAATGACCTCGCTCCCCGCTTGGGGAAGCAGGCCCCAAAAGACGCAACTGTATTCTCACAATTGTTATTGCAAAAGGAATGCCTGCCCCAGGCTGGTCTGTTTATTTGGCCCCCGCTGGCTGGGAGGCAGAGAAAGGCCTTTTCCATCGCTGGCTGCATGATCCTTTCAGCCAGGAGAGGCCGGAGTCTGAGCACGGGGCCTCCTGCACAAAATGAGGCGCTTTCGCCAAGCGACCTGCAGATGCAAAGATGGCACCGGACCCCCCTGTGCTCTGCTCGGGAATGTCGCAGGACCTCCACCCTGAGCAAGCTGCGTTCCCCGGGTGCTGAAATCCCCGGTGTTCCGTTTGTGCATGTCTATGAATTTAAGCTACTCTTCAACGTGTGTGAATCCAAGGTAAGCATTCCGAGATGGGGAGTGAAGGCGAATATCCACCCTGCGCAAGAAGCGACTGAGCTGCGCAAAGCCTGTGCGACACGATCTTCCCCACGCACTGGAGAGAAGCGTTTCCAAGGAACAACAGCAGCGCTTTCCCCCTTTTGCCAACAGTGATAAAAAGTGCCGCTAAGGTGAAGGTGAAGTACCATCTCTCTGTTAGTGATACCTTGATGGTGACATAGCCGTGGGCCACACTGTCTGGCTCACACGCAGGAGGTACGTTTTCTTCTTGGTTGAGAAGCTGTGTGGCAGATAATGAAAGGAAAAGCGGGGGTAGAGAGAGGGAGAGAAAGATTTTAAATGCACATCACAAAATCAGACCACCAGTCTCCCTAACCCACAATCCAGGTTGATTCCAACCTGGGACCTGCAGCTGTGGTGAACTAGCACTCCCAGCATCCCCAGCCCGCAGAACTGGGAGCTGTAGTCTAATGCACCTGGAAGGTACCAGGTGCTCTGAGTGGCAGCGAATTGCCCAAAGTACTCAGCAGATTTCCCCGTCACCTGCGGGCTGGTCCACTTGCACAAAAACCAAATGACCGGAGTGGCCACGGATCGAATCTGTGACTTCCAGCATGCTGAGCCCGAGCTAAGGCCCCTCCCCAAGAGAGCTGCAGCACACACTTATTTGAAATATTTATGCCCTGTCCCTCCAAGACAAGGACTTTTGGATCTGCAAATGTAAAAGCCACCACTAGAAAATTAATGAGGCCAAGCCTGCCAGCAAATCCACTAGCAGCACACCAAGAGGGGGAAGTGTCATTCTGGTTCCTTAACAATCAGAAGCCGCTCAGACCGCGAACGGAGAGAATCCCAGAGATTAAGGGGCCTTGGAGGGAAAGGGCCTATGCTTTGCTGTTCTGCTCCCAAGCCACTCGGGGCTTTTGGGTTCGGAACCAGTCCTTCAAACAGTATTAAGCAATTGTGATCCAGCACCGCGGGGGCAAATGAGACACAGGTACAAAAACGACACTTCTAGAAACACCTACTGTCATGAGGTCTGGAACCTTGCTTGGAGAGTGACGGGAAAAGGGCCAGGCAAGATTCAGGGTTCTGCTCAATTCCCCCTCAGGCTCCCCTTACTGGAAGGTGCCGCAGTACAATTAAGATGCTTCACAGCTCAGGCTTAATTTCCTGCTCTCAAACGATCTGTCACCTGAGCGTGGCCTTTCTTTTTCCTTTTAATTTTTCAGCACGCAGCAGAACTTCCGAGTGCAAAGCTCACACCCGTGTCAGCGCGGAAGAGCGGATCCGTGCCCTTCTGCGGTTAATCGTTTGCTCAGCAGAGGCCTCTCTGGAGAGCCAAGGCAGACCGCTCTTCCGTGGAGAGGGAGGGCGCAGATCCGCTTTCAAAGAATCAGCGGGTACGTGCGCTTCTCTCCCCTCGGGGGGGGGGGGGGGGGCGAGCCGCCCCCGCAGCTGACTGGGCAGGGAGCGATGGCCGCGCTCCAGGGAGGTGCTGAGCTCCAGGGCTGAGTAACGAGATCCCGGCTGGCTCAGTCAGCGAGCCAAGCTGTGGAGGAAGACTTGCGAGGGGGATGTGCGGCCCAGCTGCACTCTGCAGCCCGGCACAGCCCGGTGCCAGCGGTCCGAGGCTCTGGAGCATCCTGCCCCGGCCAGCACACCTGGGGGGCGCCGGTTAGCCTCCTCCCGGGCCGCCTCACCACAGAGAAGAGCCCCCCAGGACCCGTTGCTTGACGGGACAGGGGCTGGCACGGGGGCCGGCTGCAGGGATCCACCGCCACGCAACGTGGAGAAGCGGCCCCCTCGCAGCGAGGGCGTGCAAGAAACACGGTCGCTTCAAGGTGCTCCATCATTGCCCGTTGGCAAATTCAGTATGGGGCAGGGGACCCCCAGCCCGGTGCCCTCCTGATGGTCCAGGCCACAAGCCCCAGCATCCCCAGCCCACCTTCGCGCGGAATACCACGGGCAGGCCCTGGCTCCCGTCCCACGGAATCCCCCCCCCAAGGGAGTCGCAGCCAGCCCAGCCCTCCTGGTTTTAACTGAAAGCTTCTCGGGGGGGGGGGGGGGGGGCAGCCTTCCCCCCAGCTTTCTGGACGCCTTCTGGGCCGCATGGAAATGGATGGGGCAGTGCTGCCCACCAATGTGGGAGGCGGCTTCAAGGGGGAGCGGGCAAATCCGCGGAGGAGAAGGCCGACGGCCTAATGCTCGCGTACCACAGGCCATGTGCCCCTGCATGCCAGTTGCTGGGGAACATGGGCAGGAAAGGCTCTCGCACTCTGCGCTGCTTCTGGGCTTCCCCAGTGAGACGGCCGGCCGGCCACTTGGTCCTCCGGTGCCAGAGAAGACCGGCCCCTGCCCTTGTCCAGCTGGCGCTTCTTCTTACATGCTTATGCAGCTCTCTTATTTAGCGTTGCAGATCCGCTAGCGATATTTTGCACCGAGTAGCGGAAACGCTGCATGTTGCCGCAGGAGCGTTAAGATTCCCCAGCAGAAATACCATCCCGACGGCTGCTCTGGAAACGCGCTTGCAACGAGGGCACGCAGGGCCGAGCGTCCGCCTTGCAAGAAATCAAGGGCCCACCGACACGAGTCATTCACCTGAACCCCAGTCAGATGCTGCAGCTCCTTCAGAGCAGAGTCGGTGTCTCTCACGAGGATGGTGGCGATCCCCATCGCGCGCGCAGGCTTCAGGTTCGCGCCGATGTCATCCAGGAATATCACCTGCAGCAAGGAAGACGCCCAAGCCCGCATCAGCCAGAGGGAGCGCAGGCACTTGCGGGCCCCCGGGCGTCCTCCCAGCCTGAGCATTTCCACTGTGGAGCGTCCGTATTCTCCAATCTGTAGATGTTTTAACGAGGATGCTCCTATTTCAATCTCATGTTGTAAAATGGCTTGGGTGCTGCGTACCTGAAGGAGCGTCTCCTTCGATAAGTGCCTGCCCGTCCCTTAAGATCTGGGGCAGGGGCCCTTCTCTGGGAGCCCTCCCTGAAGGAGATTAGGAGGGTGGCTACCCGGAGGAGAGCCTTTTCTGTGGTGGCACCTCGATTGTGGAATTCGCTGCCCAGAGAGGTTCGCCTGGCACGTCACTTTATGCTTTTCGGCACCTTTTTATTTTCCCAATGTTTTAAGACCTGACTGTTTTAATTGGGGTTTTATTGTTGATCGAAAAAAATTCATTAGGGTGCCCTGTCTCATTCTATTTTGTCTTGTTAAACTGTCCTGAGACCACGGTAAGGGACAGTCTAAAAAGTTTTTATATACATGCGCTTCAGGATGTCTTTGCGATGTGGCAAATGGTCCATACATTAATTAAACAGATCAGTAAAGGCCTGCCCCATTTGGACTGGGGCGCTTGCAGTATCCTTACTGTGGCAAAGAGCAGCTTGTGTGGACACCTTTGTTTCGGATTTTAAAAGTGGTGTGTGTGGCAAGGGGCGGTTAATGACCCCATACTTTGGGCACTGGAGTCCCAAGCCACCTTGCCACCCCAGAGATATTTTGAAGCAATCTTAAAAGGTCATAAAATAATAGAATAGGAGAGTTGAAAGGGACCAGAAGGCTGTCGGGTCCAACCCCTGCTGCTGCAGGACACCGGTTCACACCATCCCACTCGGAGGGCTGCCCAGTTTCGCCCTGAATGTCTCCAGTGTGGGGGAGCCCCCCACCTCTCCGGGCAGCTGGTCCCATTGTCATGTTGCTCTGACAGCGAGGAAGCTTTTCCTGGTGTCCAGCCTGAATCTGGGTTGTTGCAGCTTTAATTAATTATTCCATGTCCCGCACTCCGGCATCAGCAAGAAGAGAACTTGACCTTCCTCTTTGTGGCAGCCTTGGAGGGACTTCTAGAGGGATACCATGTCCCCCCTCAGCCTTCTCTTCTCGAGGCTGGACATGCCCAGTTCCCCCAGTCTCTCCTCACAGGGCAGCATTCCCAACCCCTGGATCACTCTTGCTGCTCTCTGCGGGCCCTTTCCAGACTGCCTGGCGACAGTGACACACGCGCTGGTGACTTCCCGCCTTGACTTCTGTAACGCGCTTTACGTGGGGCTTCCCCTGAAGACGGTCCGAACACTTCAATTGGTGCAAAATAGAGCTGCCAGGCTGCTGACGGGGACGGGGCGTTACTCTCACATGACTCCAGTCCTCCGTCAGCTGCACTGGCTTCCCATTGAAGTCCGGGCCCAATTCAAGGTGCTGGTGATGACCTATAAAGCCCTAAACGGCTTGGGTCCTGGTTACCTGAAGGAGCGCTTACGTCCATATATGCCCGCCCGCCCCCTGAGATCAGCGGGAGAGGCCCTCCTCCGGGAACCCTCCGTGAAGGAAATTAGGAGGGTGGGTACTCGGAGGAGGGCTTTCTCTGCGGTGGCGCCCAATCTATGGAACGCGCTCCCCAGGGAGGTCCGCCTGGCGCCGTCGTTATTTGTTTTTCGGCGCCAGGCCAAGACCTTTTTATTTAAGCGTCATTTTAATTGTTAACAGTATTTGCTTATTTATCTGGCCAGGGTGACTTCTTTTATATTGTTATTTATTTATATTGTTAGTTTTATATTGTTATTCTTGTATTATATTTCATGTTGTGAGCCGCCCCGAGGCTTCGGCGAATGGGGCAGCATAGAAATGTTTTAATTAATAAATAAATAAATGACGACCCAGCTGCGAGGCAAACCCTCTATGGAACAATTCAGAGGTGTGGGCGACTGACCTCCTCGGGTTTTGCCTTCAGCTGGTCCAGCGCATACTCGTAGATCTTGGGATCCGGCTTCTGCAGCCCAATGCGACACGACTCGATCACCCCGTCGAAGTATCTCCGCAGCAGGCAGAGGGCGAGCCCCGTGCGGTGCCTGTGGGGGGAGTCGTCCACCCAGTTGTTCGTCAGCACAGCGATCCTGAAGCCTGGGGGTGTGGGCGATTTGGCAGATCAGGAAGGAAAGAGGAAGCCTGGTCTTGTATGGTCTGAATGACAACATCCATTCGCAGCGGGAAAACATGCAAAATTCCAAATGTGGATTCAGGTAGCAGGTGAAGACGAGGCCTGAAGGTCAGGACTGCATTCACCCAGGAAAAAGAAGAGGGCTACCATGCTTTACCTGCAAAGCTGAAACTCAGTGTATCCTCCAATATCAGAACGAGATTGCGATTCTTTAAGGTGCCACAAGATGGTCTGTTGTTTATCTCCTGGAGCAAGTTTTCAAGTTGAGCTCCAGCGATTAATTTAACTAATCCAGCCTTCCCCAACCTGGCACCAGTGCGATGCGTTGTACTACAACACACAACATCCCCAACTAGCACCCCCATTGGAGTCCAACAGATCTGGAGGGCACCAGGTTGGGGAAGGCTGGATCAATAGATGAATTAGCAAAATCCCTTTTAATTAACTTAAAAGCATGCCCAATTACTTAAGATACACTGGATTAAAAGCAGCTAAGTACTTCAAACAACTGCAGAGAGCGTACACGTTCTGAGAAAAGGCATCTGTCTACTTCTCTGCTCTGCAGAAGACTTGGCACCCTCCGCAACCTGGATGGATGCAACACCCAACGCTGGTTTTCTCCCTTCAGAACCGCTGGTGCTCATTTTAAAGATCATCAAATCAATCTACGTTAAGAACTGCAGTAAGAGGCCAAGGGTTAGGGGCATCCAGCTTGCTCCGTGACAGTCCTGGACCCGAGGGACAGGCTTACCATGGTTTTTGAGGGTCAGCGCAGCTTGCAGGATGGGTGCATTCCAGGTGTCGCTGGTTGCCATTTCTTCAAAGATCTGAGCCATGGAGAAGCCTTCTGGGAGGGGCTTTCCGGAGGCAGCGGCTGCTTCCTTGCAGTCTTTTTCAAACTCGGCAATAAGCTGAAACATAAAAGCCCGTTTAGGATCCGTTTCGTGCATGGACAGATAGCGTTAAAAACTGGTGGCCGAGACTCCCAACGCATCTAGGGGTGCTATCCTGAGCTGGGGAGGGGGTCCCCTTAGAACCCGCGGCCCACCAGCTGTTGCAGCCGCCGGCCGCCGTGATCCCTCATCCACAGGACGGGCTGTGCTGGTGACGGCTGGCTGACGGGGGCTGTGTAACGAAGCACCGGGAGGGCCGTAAGTTGCCCACCCCCTTCCGGGCGTGGGTCATTCTCACCTGGGTCAGTCCAATCCGGCCAGTCATCCCCCGGGAAAAGGGTCCCTCCAGACCCCCATTCTGGATGACCTTCTGGAAGAAATCGCTAGAAGATGAAACAGAGAGGGAGATTGAGAGAGCGAGTTGGACTGGTGTTATTACACTGCTTTGTTATTCTATTGCATGTATATCCTGCTTTTTCCTCCTGCAAGGCACTGTCCAACCCCACTGCATTTGATCCACAACAACAACCCTGCGAGGTGGGTTAGAATTAGTGGCTGGCCCGAAGTCACCCACCGAGCTTCATGGCCGAGCAGAGACAAGGATCCGGGCTGCGCTCCCCACCACGGCACGCTGGGTCTCTGCACCCGCTAGCGGCGGCCGGGGCACACGCTGCTGAGTCCAGCAGCTCCCAAGGCCGACCATTGCGCCATCCAACTGCCGCAGGGACAGCGGGAGAACCCGCGTGCCCGAGAAAAGCACAGACGGTGCCCCTGAACCTCCGTGTGCCCCCTGCCCCTGCCATGCATCCATGCCCATGTGGTCGTGTGCGCAAGGTTCCCAGGCACATGATGCGCACGGGCATGTAAGGGCACACTCAGTTCACGGACACGAGCGCAGCGCTGGGCTGTCCTGCGGCAGAAGATGCCCGTGTGGCTCTGGGCCAGCAGTGAACCCCCTCCCCTCCCCTCCCCTCCCCTGCGCGCACGCGCGCGCGCGCACACACAGATGTATCCGGAGCCCCGTGGATTCTGGAAATGGCACACTCCGCTTCAGCAGGGCGAACAGGGCTGCACCAATGCAAAGAGGCCACCGAAAAGGGATGGAGAAGGGCTGCGAGCAAGAACGGGGCGCGCGGGCAGGAAGTGGGGGTGCAGGAAAGGGGCCCTGCAAGCCTGGGGAGGGAAGACTCGCCAGAAGCCAAGAGGTCCTTCCGATGTCGTTGCCTTCCTGCGTGGGTCCGTCATGCCCATTTATCCGGCCCGCCTGAGGTTTTGGACTCGCGCAGAGAAAACGATCTCCAAGCAAGCGAGCCGCTGCCGCGTGCGCGCCGCTGACTTGCTGTGCGCACGCACCCGCTGCCCCTGCCCCCTCGCCGGCCCACCCTGTGCCCACCGGGCCCCCGTTGAAAAAGTTTGAGGACCCCTGCCTTAACGCCTGCGCCAGCCAGTACTGCTCAGGCAGAACAGCCTGCCCCTGATGGGGGGCCACAGCCTGTTCTCCCCCGTGGAGGAGGGCAGGATGCGCTCCAGTGGAGAAAAGTGCAGGGAACCAGGATTCAAGGTGGATGCCAGGAAGCACCTCCTGACAGTTAGGACCCCAACGGGCTTCCAGGGAGGTGGCTGAGGCCCCATCGGTACGGGTGCTCAAGGATAGGCTGGACGTGCACATGGTGGGCATGTCGTGAGTGAAGCCGGCTGGAGCCAGGGTCAGACTAGATGCCCTGGGAGGCCTCTTCTGACTCGCTCTGTTTCTCTTGGTGGAAAATATGCAAGAAAAGGGCAAAGTGAGCGGAGCTGGAGGAAGAATTTAGTCAAAGATCAGCGCTGTGAGTGGCCCCCAAGCCTTTCCTTTTTATTGATTAGATAAGACATAGACTGCGTCCTGCTGCTCTGTTTCCATGACAGCTGCAAGGCCACAGCCTCAGCAGCCCCAGCAAAACCCTTCACTGCACATTCCCCACCAGAGTCCAAGGGTCATAAGACGACACAAGGCCTGTGACTAACGCAGCCACAAATGCTCCCCTTTGCCTATTTTCTTGTAGCACTTGACAAATAGGAAAGTAATTTGATATGCACTTATAGCCCTCTTTTTTCTCCTTCCACCATGGAACTCGGGTGGCTGCGGGGGTCCTGGGTGCTCAGGCCAGGCTCGGCAAGTGGGGGGCCAGGCCAAGCCGCAAGATGAGGATGACGATCCATTTCATTTCATTTCATTTCATTTCAATACTGCCCGTCACCGAAGGTCTCTCATCGGCCTCCTTCCCACCAGGATAACCCCCTACCTTGCCATTCAGGCAGCTGCCCCACCCCTTTGCCCCTGGGGTCCACTCAAAGTCCCCCCCCCATCTTAATGTGAACCCCCCTGGAGCAATGGCCATTCGGCTGAGTTTTGCAGGCCTCTGTTTTATGGCTGCAATTCCAAAGTGCTCTGCGGGAGCCATTATGACAAGCACAATTGGACATAAATTATGTAAATAAATGAAACGAAGTGAAGCTGCCAAACAAACAAGGCAATTAACGTAAGTATACATTATGTAAGTAAAGGTCAGGCTTAATGGAAGACGAGCCGCAGGCTTTGCCCAAGACTGATCGGAAAACCGACTCCAAGCAGCTGCTGGAGGAGGAGGAGGAGGAGGAGGAGGAGGAGGAGGAGGAGGAGAGAGGGACGGAGGGAAAGACAGAAAGATGGAAAGCAGAGAGGACGGGATGCAACGAGGTCTTACGCTGGTCTAGGAATGGTGTAGCGGCAACAGCAAGAATGCAGCGAAGATTTGGGGAAAGTAGAGAGGGACAACGTTGTAGTGCGTCGCAGACGGAGGAAGAAAAGAGCAGAAAAGAAATCAAGGGGTTCGGAAAAACGGGGTCGCAGCTGAGCCATGGCCCCAGAGAAGACCTCAGTGCAGCCCTGGCAATCCTCGGAGCAAAGGGTGCGGACGAAGTCGCAGGAGTCCTGCTTTCTTCCCAAATCCCAAGAGGAGGAATGCCTCTTCCCGTGGAGCAGCAAGCTCCTCGAGGGAGGAGTGCAGGAAATGTGGCCCCCCCGGCCCGATCAGGAAGGGTCGCAAGGGTCCTGTTTCGCACTGGACGAGAGGCAGGTCCAAGGACGGGGAAAGCCCAGCGGGCTGGACCGGCCAGAATCATGACCTGCTGGACCATTCCCCACCCAGATTACAAAAGATGCTCCAAATTCAGGCAAGCGGCTCCTAGTCCTCAGGGCTACTAGTCCTCAGGGCTACTCCCAGGACCGGAGGCGGGGTGCCTGTGTCCCGGGCAGGATTCGTCCTACTTGTGGGTTCCCTGTGGGAAGCTGGCCGGCCAGCGCATGGACTGAACCGTACCTAGATGCCCTGACCTGAGCAGCACGGCCCTTCTTTGGCCCTTACGTTCCCACTCAGGAGCAAAACCACAGGAAAACAGCTCTGCACCACCCGCAAAACGGAAGTCAGCTCATCGCAGGGTATTTATCAGCGGTCCCTCAACACCCTCCTCTCCCCACCACGTGGAAGGAACAGCAAGGGACGCTCGTGAGGGGAATGGGAGCCCCCTTGGCCAGGCCACGTCTGACCCACGCGTCCAGAGGCTTCCCACTCCTGGTGCGAATCCAGGAGCAGCTGTGCTGCAGGGAGCCATGGGAGGGAAACGCAGAAATACATCTCTGCAACATACGTGAGGATTTCTGTACTGGACCAGGCCAAAGAGACGGAAAAGGCTCCTCAAGGAGGCCCGCCTGGCACCAACCTTACCAGCTTTTCAGCACCAGGTGAACATGGTCCTCTGTAGATAATCCGATCTGCAGAGGATACAAAACTGGGCAGACTAGCAAACACCCTAGAAGACAAATGAAGATCCAGGCGATCTTGATAAACTTGGACACTGGCCTGAAAGCAGCAGAATGAGATTCAGTGGGGACAAGCGCCAAGTCCTCCACCCGGGAAAGAGAATGCAAAGGCTTTGATGCAAGATGGGGAGGACGTGGCTCAACAGAACTGAAAAAGATCTCGGAGTAATTGCAGACAATAGGCTAAATATGAGCCAACAATGTGATGCAGCTGCAAAAAGGGCAAATGCTATTTGGGAAAATTAGAAAGGGTCCAGAGGAGGGCAACAAAGGTGATCCAGGGTTTGGGAACACTGCCCTGTGAGGAGACTGAGGGAACTGGGCATGTCCAGCCTGGAGAAGGCCGACGGGGGGAATGATCTCCCGCTGGAAGTCCCTCCAAGACTGTCAGAAAGAGGAAGGTCAAGATCCCTCCTTGCTGATGCCGGAGTGCAGGACACGGAATAATCAAGTCAAGCTGCAACAACCCAAATTCAGGCTGGACATCAGGAAGTTTCCTCGCTATCAGAGCAACATGACAGTGGCACCAACTACCTGGGGAGGTGGGGGGCTCTCCAACATGGGAGAGTGAAACTGGATGGTCATCTGAATTGGAGTGACCTGGTGTCCAGCAACTAGATGGCCTTCATGGCCCCTTCCAACTCTACACTTCTATGATTCTAGCACAGGGCAATTAATTAGTTTGCTGGCACTCTGTTAGCTCTTGGAGCAGGTCTTATAATTTAATTTATAAATTATAACCATTAGCGGGGAATCATCGGGATGGTGGCCAGTGACAAGCAGGGTCCCCCGGAGCTCTGTCCTGGGGCCGATCCTGCTTAATCTTTTCATTAACGACATGAAAGAAGGGGTGAACAGTCTGCTGATTAAATTCGCAGACGACACTAAAACTGGAGCAGTGGCCACAACTGAGGAGCAGGTACTCCAGATCCAAAAGGATCTGGACAGACTATGGAAGTGGGCAGGAGACAACAGGATGGTGTTCAAGGTGGATAAGTGCAAGGTCTTGCACTTGGGGCACAGGAATGGGTGTCACAAGTACAGGTTAGGGGACAAGTGGCTGGAGAGCAGCACTTGTGAAAGGGACCTCGGGGGGCTGGTGGACTGCGGGCTGAACATGAGCCAGCAGTGGGATGTGGTGGCCAAGAGGGCGAACGCCACCCTTGGTTGCATAGCCAGAAGTGTGGCTTCTGGATCGAGAGAGGTATCACTGCCACTCTACACGACTCTGGTGCGCCCACAACTGGAGTATTGTGCTCAGTTTTGGGCCCCTCATTACAGACAGGATATAGCCAGGTTAGAGTCAGTGCAGCGCAGGGCCACAAGGTTGGTGGCCGGTTTGCAGGGGAAGCCGTATGAGGCGAGACTGAGGGAACGGGGTCTCTTCAGCCTGGAGAAGAGGAGACTCAGAGGGGATCTGTTGGCGACATACAGGTATGTGAGGGGGTGTCACACGGAGGTGGGGAGAGACCTGTTCTCCCCTGCAGAGGAAGGCGGGACGCGCTCCAACGGAGCAAAGCTCAGGGAGCCCAGGTTCAACT